TGAACTGAAATGTGTGTTAGCAGTGTGTGTACACAACCACCCTATAATGATAAAAATCCACCCAGTAATTTTTAAAATCTCGTTAAATGTTTTCCCCTTTCTCAAATCGAGCCGATCTCAGATGCCGGTCTGTGTGACGTCACGTCTGCCTAAATGCATCTATGTTCGCGCGAATCATTCATGATCCAGCCTCATCTACAGAAGAAGTGAGTATAATGTTTTGTAAGGAATCTTTGCAAATCGCCTTTCCTAATAATGTGCTAATTAGCTATTTTCACGATGAATGCAGCTAAAGTCAACAGTCCCTCAGAGAGCAGCTCGGAAGAGAGGGGCGGGGTCAGCAGAGCTCATTAACATTTAAAGGAAAATGCTACAAAAACGGCTTGATCTGAAAAGAGCAGTTATTTACAGGGTAAAAAATATGTTTTTTTTACACTACCACTGAGAAATTTTAACCAAACTATGTTACAGACTTTTCATTAAGACCCTAAAGAATCATATCAACTTGTGGAAAATGGGCATCCTATGACCTCTTTAAGCTAAATTATAACATTCATTGTGTGAGCCAACTCAATACACACTGTGAGACGTGATAAAAAAAAAACTTATTTAATTATATTTCAACATAAACAAACATCACTAGATGATAGTGAACATAATCTAGCAAACATTTATAATAATTATAAATATAATAATAATAATATATATATTTTTTTCAGATGAAATGTTGCAGTGGTGTATAACATTCAAAGTAATTATAATGTACTTTAATTAGCATTTAAAAATATGTCAGAAAGATATCAGTTCATAAATACCAGTAGTGATGGTGTACAACCAGAAATAGTCCCAATCAATGTCCCAAAATTTAGTGAGCCTGGGTCCTCACCAGTGCCCCAATTTGTTTACATGATATGTTGACCCACACCCTACAGTAGGGAGCTAAATGAGACGTACCCTAAAGCTCAGCTAGAGGTCTTAATTACCACCCCACTGGCGCAGACCACAATCCACCCTTAAAAGAAGTTCACCCCAAAAAAAAAAAAAGAGAATTTTGTTATTTACTCCTTTAAACCTTGATGTTGTTCCAAACCTGTATGAATTTCTTTCCTCTGTTAAACACAAAAGAAGATATTTTGAAGAATGTTGGTAACACACGGTTGCTGGTGGCCTTTTATAGTATTTTTGTCCATACTATGGAAGTCAGTGGCTACAACTGCTTGGCTCTCCACATTCTTCAAAATATCGTCAACAGAAGAATATTTTGTGTTCAGCCGAAGAAAAAAAAAACTCATACAGGTTTGGAATAACTTGAGGGTGAGTAAATAACAGAATTTTCCTTTTTGGGTGAATTATTGCTTTAAGTAAATGTCATGGATTGTAACAACTAAACAAATGAGCAATTTGTTTATACTAAATAATATTCAACATCCCCAAGTCCACATTCCTCTACTCTGAAACTTTCATCAAAAATCACACACAGTGTATCCACCTGGAATTCCATGGCCAATCTATTTGGGATACTACAGTATGGGATGAGTTCCGAGATTCCCCTATCTACCAGTTCATGCCCTTTCAAAACACACAAAGAAACATACACCTACGATTCCTCCCAATACTTACGCTTCTCCTCTGCTGGGTTAGTAATATGTACCCCATCGGACATGGGACAGGATTCACGTAGAGCTGAATGCGAAAAGTTACGGTCAGACAAGGACAATAACACACATTGACCAAAACAGTAAAATCCTTTTCGCATCTTCATGTGTTTTCTGAGTGTTACTTGCATAATTCACTAAACTGAGTAGGAGAAATAGTTACAGAGATGCAACCCCCATCCACCATTGGTCAGCCAAAGCACCCTAAACTCACACCATCAACCAACAAATGACTTACTTTCTCCTG